CATGATTGACATCCATGTCCCAACTTGAGGGGGAGTGTTGGAATGTTAGCTTTATTTATTATGTTTGTATTCTGCTGAGTTAGGGTCCGTTTGGACAAATTAAAGTAGTTTTTTCTTTTGTTTTTTATGTTGTAACTTAAGTAGGGGCATAAGGGTCCTTTCCCTTCTAATTATGGTCGCCCTATATATATTAATATAAGTTGGCGCTGCCAGCACTGTAGTTGCTCTGTAGCAGACTCCAAATCTCTCTCTTCTCTTCTCTCCTCTCTTCCTCTTCTCCTTTGTTCGGCTATTAATAAATATGAATTGGTACATTTGGGAGAGGATCCTTCAACCTGTTGTGTGACATTCATGAAGAAACAATTTGATAGATGGAAGATTATGCATTTACTTCCTAATGCATCTGAGGCCTGACTATGAAGTTGTGCAGTCTAACATCCTTAGCAAAGTAACTTTTACCAGATTTGGATGCAATTCCTGTGGAGCTATTGAGAGAAGAAACCAAGATGGCTACTTAGATTACACTTGATGGGAAGAGAGATCCTAACATTAATGTTGTCTTCCTTGCAACCAAACCTAAGAACAAGAAAGGTTTTTCTTGTGTTCAATGCCATGAATGCAAGGAATTTGGTCATGTGGTTTCACATTGTAAGAAAAAAACACTTGTACTTATTGTAAGCAATAGGGACATATTATCACCGAGTGTCCTACTCGTCCACCAAAGGGAGGTATTTCCAATCAGAAGAAAGGACAACATAAGGCATATCAAAACTTTATTGAGAGTTAAGATGATCATCCACAGTAACTTCAATGTCTTCAAACGGGGACACTTCCAAGTGTTGTGATAGAAAAGAAGATTCGCCAGCTCATATCCTTGGCTATTTCCTCTGCCTTTTCTACTATCAGTCTGTCAGGTGAGTCTACTTTTGTTCTTCACCCAATCATCTATTGATAATCGACTTTGGTGCCTCTAACCACATGACCCACCAACATCAGCAGAGACTTTCTCTACCTGGCCAAAGTTCAGAGGAAGTATGAGAGCTAAAATTGTCTGGAGCTGCACTCCCTTTGCAGTTTGCTGATCTCTGTGGTGGGAAAGGAATAGGAGGCTCTTTGAAGGAAAGGAAAGAGGTATTGAAGTGATTGTGGCTTCAGTAGGCAAACTCATCACAAACTGGATCATCTCCCTTGAAGAATTTGAGCAAATCAGTCCTTCAGACTTTGCTGAGAATTTTTGGGACATTCTTGAGATTCAAACTTGTAATGTGAACCAGTTCAGTCTGGACTGAATTTATGATGTATATTATTTTTTTCTTTGATGTGGAGTGTTATCTTGACACCTGAACAGTTTGTACCTGTTTTTCTTTTAATAAAATTTTTCTTCTTTACTCTTCAAAAAAAAAAGACCCCCCTCCCTCCCTGACAATTTTAAGTTGCATATCTTCCAATTGGGTCATTTACCGAGTGTCCTTGAATGACCAAGTTCATCATCATCAGCTAAGACTTGTCCTAACCATACGAGATCAGCTGCATGAATCTTGTTCCACCATTCTGTTCTATTAAGTGTCGTATCCATCGTTAAACTATGGGCCCTTAAAATCATTTTTTACTACTTCAACCCATGTTTTTTGTCTGTCCCTAGCTCTTCTAGCCCCTTGTGGCCTAAAACACTTTGCCATGTGTGCAAAATAACTCACTTTAAAGGTAAGCTTTGTATTAAAAAATAAAAACTTTTAACAGTTAATATAATATGAAAACTATCAATACAAAGAGGGCATATTGCAGATATGGGCTGAAAAGTTGAATATGTGGTCAATCCACTGGGTCCATCTAATAGATGGTTTGGATTGGCTGCAAGATTCCTCTGCACAGTAGAAAATTGGTTGGTTCGTACAGAAGCTTCCTACATGACCCAACTAGTAAACCTCTTTCTTATATATTGCCTTGCTTTATTCTTTTGAGTGTTTTATCTTTTTAGGGTTTTGCATTTTACAAAAATGATATGACAGCACAACCTTTATCTTTTTCAGATTGCATATTGAGCTAAGTTTGGCCCGACCCAAGTTGCAACCTAAAACATTTTAAATAACTTGTATGATAGCACAAAATGCTCTAACAAATAAAGTCATTGACAAGTCAATTTCAATAACTGAACAGAGTTCTTCCAATTTAATTAAAAATAACAACATTGTAGTAACTAGCAAGTTATAAATCGAAATGCTACCTTGTACAATATATTTGTGTATGAGGACGTAAGAAATTTGGAACTTTTACAAAAGCCTCAAAATTTGTAGGTGCAAGAGGTGCATCATTTGGCCCTACATGGAAGAAAAGATCCGTCTGAGAATACCAGAAAAGGGAACTCAACAATCAGTCAATCAGATTATTGTTAAAAAAGGTAGACAGAAAAGACACAAAGGAAGAAAAGACTTAACATGTTGAAAACATAGCTCATTAAAAAACCCCATTAATTATAAGCAACAATGTGATCAATCAGATCAAAAAGATGCTATGGTAATACAGATAACACATAAGTGATAACAGTGTGGAAAGAATTATCAAGCAGAAATCCTACAAAATAACTCTGATGTCTTATCATAGTTTTCTCTTTATTATAGATAGGAAAAGCATTACCATATTAAGGATATGTACTTAGATACACACGGAATTAACCTTTTTTTTTTGTTTTTTTTTTCAAATTTTGGTTTTTGGGGAGTTAAAAAATAGTTTTTTTATCAAAAAAGGGTGGGGTCCCGACACTTCTATTAAAAAAAGTGTTTCGGGACCCAAAAGATACGATACGATACGATACGCCCGACAACCAATGTTAGAAGTTAGAACACCTATGGGAGAGACATCAGATTTTACAGTTACAATGGGTCCTCACCAAGGTTCAACACTAAGCCCCGATTAAAGTGATAAGTAGGATTCAGGAGCTTCAACACAACTTTCTTTGGGAAGTGGAGAGGAAAAAAAAATCACTTCGTAAATTGGAAGGTGATTTGTAAGCCCAAGAAAGAAGGTGGTTTGGAGCAGGATTGTTTATGGGCTTCCATCATCCGAAGCAAATATAGGAGTGACAATGGTTGGGGCAACAATGTGAATCTCAACAGGTTTTCCTAGCTAATCCTTGGAAAGGTTTTGTCCAAACCTTCTTTCTTAAACATGCTCCATCCTTTACTCTTCAGTTTAGGAGAGAATCTAATGACTCAGAATCCATTGAAGTTTCTTCTCAAATTCAGTCGCTTTGAAGTCTACCTTTATCCTTCTCATCCAAACAAACTCATTTGGTCATTAACTTCCCAAGGTTGCTTTACTAAATCCTTTCTTTACTGTCTCATAGCCAATTCCTTGTCTAAAGCTTTTCCGAGAAGAATTTGGCTTCCAGTTGTTCCTTTAAAAGTCTCGTTTATTTGGGAGGCTTCTTAAGGTCATATTAATAGAGGTGACATCATTCCAAAAGAAAAGAAAAGGCCAACTTTATGTATCATCCCATGTTTGCATTATGTGGTTCAGGGATGATGACTCTATAAGTCGTCTCCTTATTAATTGAGAGGCCACTAGATACTTGTGGCAATTATTTCTGGACTAGTTCAATAGTGGTGGTTTTTATTGGGTCCTTCCTAATTCTATTTCATAATTCATCCTTCAATGGCCTGCCTGTAAGCTTGGTCTTAGAGGAATTTTTTTTGGAAGGCTACTATTCATGCTGTCATGTGGTGCATTTGGGAGGATCTTAACAGAAGAATCTTTGAGAATAATGCATCTCCTTTAGATGATCTTAAAAGTAGAATTCTGCAACATATTTTTCGTTGGATGCCCTCTTGCAAGTACTTCGAAGTGGTGAGCTATGGTGATTTGGATAGGAACCTTTTTGTGGTCTAGAATTCATAACCAGGGGATCTTCAATATTTCCCAAATCTCAATGCTAGGCAAAATGCAGATTTCATTCTTATGTTTGATGGCAATTGCAGATCAAGTACAAGTCACAGAGGGGCTGCTGGCATAGGTGGTCTGATTCTCAATTCTGTTGGTAATGTGATATGGGCTTTTAGCAGGCCTGTTGGGATCACTGATGCCTTTGAAGCTGAAGTTAGAGCCCTGATGGGTGGTCTGAGAGATTCCAAGCCTATATCGGCTAGACCGCTTGCAATTCAAGGAGATTCTAGGAATGTTATTGGATAGGCATCCAGCATGGACCTTGGCCCTTGGAGACTTGTTCACTTCCTACATGAGATTCATGACCTTTCCAGCCTCCTTGAACTGCTCTTTTAGATGGATCAAATCTAGGGTGGATAGGGTTCTGTATTGTGCAAATACATAGCCTATGTAATTCTTGATGTCATTAGAGGCTTTTTGTTTCTTGGTTGTACATCCCCCCCCCCCTTTTTTTTGCCTTGAAATGAATCTTTTCTAAAAAAAAAGATTCCAATGCTTAGCCCTTATTTATTTGCACTAGTCATAGATGAATTGACTGAACATATTCAGAAGGAAGCCCCATGTTGCATATTGTGTGATGATGACATTGTTTTAATTGACGAAACTAATGAAAGATTAGATGCAAAATTAAGCATATGGACAGATGCCTTAGAAATGAGAGATTTTAAAATGAAGACTAAAACAAAAATCAGCGTACACTTCGGCTTGGAGACTAAGATATAACTCAAGGTGACCTTTTCCGGTACTTTGGTTTGATCATTCATAACAAGGGAGAGATTGAGGAGGATGTTGATAATTCATAAGAAAATACCACTTAGATTAAAAGGAAATTTCAACAAAACACTTTTAAGGCCAGCCCATATGGAGCGAAGTGTTGGCACTCAAGAGCAACATGTCCAAAAAAATGAATGTCGCAGAAATGTGCATGCTGAAATGGATGAGTGGAAAAACTAGAAAGGATAGGATCATAAATGAAGTCATTGGAACTTGGAAGGAACTTAGGAGTAGCTTCAATAGGTGATAAAATGAGGGAAAGTAGACTAAGGAGAAGGATAGTAGCTTCAATCAGGCCAGACCGGCTCAAAATCGTGTCGGGCCGTGGGCGGCACAGCCCGATTTACACCTYTATGCAGATGTGTTAATGAATGCCAAAAACATTAATCCACACCAGGCTTTTACGACCTACATTGCAAAGTGGTCTGACTAGCAGATTCCACCTGTGTTTAACTTTCTCACTTTAATATTTTTCACTTGCATACCATCAGCAAACCACTTCAGAACTTACTCCTCTTTAGGCTCAACATTGACAACTCGTCCTACTAAACAAGCCTCTAACTGCCTAAATCAAGAGTGTGTTGTCTAGTCTCAAACATCACATTTTGCACCTGGTTACTTGCATGGGGTATTGAATAGGATCTCATCCATTGGAATGTAATTGGTTTGCAATATATAAATATTGATCAAATATATATATAGATAGAGAGAGAGAGAGAGAGATTTAGGGACAAACTATGTGGGACTTTAATTTTGTGGGTTGTTCATGATTTCTATGAACGGTAGGTTATTATGCTTTAGGCAAGGTGACATTTGAGGCATTTTCCTTACAGTCCTCCTCTTTTTCCTAATGACTAACTTCATCAAAAAGGAACCAAGGAACCAATACAAGTTTTTCTCACTTGTGTATGATATTAGCAGTCTTAATTTCCAATTACTCCATACAGCTACATAAGCCTATTTTCATCTCATTGATTCTTTTGTGAATGACATTTTGACTGGATTTTCTACATATTTCATAAAACGTACCTCTGGTTGTTCCCTTTCTACTTATATAATCTCACATATGACATTTTCACAGTATTTCCATCATAGTACCTTTGACTGTGTCCAGTTATCTGTTTTTTTTTTATGAATGTCCAGTCATCTCCTTTCTACTTATCTCTTTCATCTGACCCTCATAGTGTATATATGAAACCACATGTCAACTTCAATTCCTTACAGTAATACTCAACTATGATTTATCACAACCAATTAGGGTCTACAGAAGAGAAACCACAAGGCACGGGTCCATAATTTATTTTGTTTTGTATATTATTTTATATTTTTGTCCTTGTAAATAAGAATTCAAATATCAGTTTTTCCATGTGAAACACCAATACCTATTTAAAGTTCAAAATTAATTTCTGTACCTTAACTTGACATTTTGTGTGGTTATACTTCTTGTGCACCCATCTGTGAATGGGGTTTGTTCCTCTCATACATAAAATAATAAAACAGAATATAGATATAGCTTGGCTGATACCTTAACCAAGCAAGGGGTAAATAGAGAACAGTTATTTTGGGTCCCTTTAAATGAAATGTAGAAGGTATGTGAAAAAAGAAACATAGAGTTCATTGCCTTTCTATTAAGGGATGCTGGACCATTCTTTTATTCATTCCTAACAAAATTTAAAGTTATCCATAAAAAAAAGAACAAAAATATAGATATGAGGCCTAAAAGAAAGGAAATTTCCTTCTTTTTGGAAACTTCGGGTCAAAAATAATATAAATATAAAAAAGCCATTACACAATGTTGGTCCCAGCTATCTAGGGTCTTGGGAGGGGGCAGGACTGGGTACATGAGACCAAAATTTATTACCAAATGAAAACAAAATATAGTAGCATATGAGCTAGCATTCTATTAGTTTATAAAATATCCTTTTTGATCAGTTGGTTCACACATAATATTTCTACTCTTTTCTGTGGTTTCATGGCAACTGCTTCTTCCAGTGCCAAAATTCCAGGGAAACTATAGACCAGTTCACAACCAAGAAATCCTAGTATCATCAATGTCAACAGATATTCTAGGTGACCTTGCCCATAAGTTGGGCTCATATCATTGACTTGATAGGGTTAGGGTATTAAGGAACATTCTAGATGCAATTGGTTGGGTCTCCATGCAAGATATAGCATTGTTCACAACCTCACCCCAATCAATTCAGTAGTCATAATGGAGGCCCTGGTGGATACTGATCAGACATATAAACAGAGATAATTGTATCATCAACGGCAAGGTCTTGAGTTCCTTACAAGTACACCACGTAGATACTAGGTTGAAAGTGGAGCATATGGACTCGGAGTTCAACAAAACAGAAGACTCAAAATGAAACCAAAAATATGCCAATACTGATAACAGATAAAGAAGAAAGAGAGGAGTTTCTTACCACAGTAATAAGTAGTTAGAACACGAGCATCAGGTGCATAGGTTCTTATCTCACTAGACATGTTGCGGATGGAGTTATATTGATCCAGATTTAGAGGCTGCCAGAAAGTAAGTTGTACAAGTAAGCTGAATGGCAAAATTTTATGACATCAGCAGGCAACAGATTCAAACAATAGGGATAACCCAAAAATGAGAAATAATTGGAAACAATGCCAGACATATTTAAATTCAATTTTCAGACTTCTATAATGGGTGGTGTGACTATTATTTTTAGTGTTTTAAAAGTGCAAGCAAGGTTCTAAGTATCAGAAACACCAAGTGTATCGGAAAGGCAATTTTAAAAGACGCATCGAGATATGCATGTGTATCAGTGAAAAACTAAGATACACATAGATACACTTCGAAACACTATAAATACTTTAATAAATCCTAAAAATACATAAACAACACTAAATATAAGACCTCAATGAGGTGTATATACATTAAATTAATATATTTTAATGGTTTTATGAAGAAATATATTGTAGCTAATTATAATTTCATTAAAAATCCCATGCTTAACTATAACTTATAAATTATAATTCTTAAGTTTTAATGCTTTATGGGATGGGAAAAACCCAACTCTCCTATCCAACCATAAAACATGCATTGGCACAACTTCTATGTGAAAATATAATTAATAATTATTTATTATTTAAATAATTATTATTTATTATTCATTTCCAAAAATTATAAAAAATAAATATATGATGGATCATCCATGGAATTATAATATATTCAATCATTGCGATCAAATAATAAAATATAATTAATTATTTATTTATTTTTTAATTCTAAAAATATAAAAATAAAAAGATAATTCTTAAAGAAGAAATTTCAATTGGTCTATGCATATGATAGATCATCCATAGAATTATAATATATTCAATTGTTGTGATCAAATGATAAAATATAATTAATTATTATTTATTTTTAATTCTAAAAATATAAAAAAACATTAAAGAAATTTCAATTGCTCTATGGATATGATAAATAAATCTATAGATCTAAAACATATTTAGTCTTTATAAGCAAAGAAAAAATTACATCTTCGGATTTTTTGTTAATTTATATTTTCCCGAAATATCTTCATGAAATTTCCATAAATTTACTGATAACACAAAAAAAAAATTATGATTTTGAATGTAAGAAATGTAGATCAACATAAATTTAAACATTCAAGAAAAAAAAGAAATCGCATGATATTATAAAAAAATAAAAAATTTTACCGACTTTTGCCATATTTTTTCAAAATTTGAAAACTCTTTAAAAAAAACTAACGATTCACACTTGTTTCTTACAAACTTTTGCAAATCTAGCACTCTAGGAATGAAGTTTGGAGTTTTAGAGTCATTTGGGGGTGAAAGAAGGCTTATTTCAGGGAAAATAAGCTTGCTTTCCCCCTTTAATTTTTTTTAGTTTTTGGTCTATCTTTTTCGTCGATACTCTACCGATACACCCCAATATGCCCCTGATATGGGTCTGATACGCATGAAAAAAGACAAAACGTCCAATTTCCATGTGTATCCCGTATCTATTTTTTAAAGATATGATATGATACGCCCCGTATCGGGCATATCGTAGCGAAATTTTAAACCTTGAGTGCAAGGGTCAATTTGCGCCTGAGGCGCAAGGCACAAGGCGAGGTGCACGCCTTTTTGAAGGAAGACATAAAAATACAAAAACAATGCTAAGAAATAAAAAAAAAAGTCAAAAAATTAAAAATTGACAAAAATTTCAAAAAAAATCAAAAAATATTAAGCATAATATTAATAAAAAATAAAAAATAATGAAAATAAATGTTTTATAAAACCTATTATCAAAAATTAAAATACATAAATATAACATGTAAAGAGTATTCAGATGAAAATTTAAAAATAAAATCAAACATATAAAGCATATTCAAGCATGTAAAACTCACAACCTCTTTTTTTCTTCAATGGCATTACTTCAAGTAGCTAAAGTGATGTAAAACATATTGCATTCCTGATTCTACGAGCCGCCTTTGTATCACACCCCTCGAGGCAAGCCAAACAAGTCCATATTAGGGTCTTAAATTCTTAATTCTCACATAAAAACAATGATTTTATATAACTTTAATTGCCTTTTAAGAAGATATTTTATTAGAATGAATAAATGAACATTAGCAAATACAGGGTTCTCGGAACTTCATTGAGCAAGCGAAGCAAGTGAAAAAAGCGTGAAATTTTCAAAAGGCGCACGCTTAGGCTGAGGCGCATCAGGCACACACCTAGGCACATCAGGCATGCGCCTAGTGCCTACGCAAGGCGCATACCCTAAAATACGCCTCACTTGTGCGCCTAGGCACGCCTTCTAAATCACTGGTTCGTAGTTGTGGTTGGTCTTGTACTTGGATCATTTGGACAGCTCTTCATTTAATAGGCATGTTTTTATCCAGGCAATTTTCTTCTTTTTTTTTTGTCTTTATAAATAGAAGTTCCAATTAGTTACCAACAATGTTCAAAGAACCAGACTAAGCAAAACCGAAAAAAGGAGAGGTTCATGGATCAGAGGTTCAACCATGGTTAAACCGGAGGTCGAACCGTGACGGCATAACATATATATATATATATATATATATATATATATATATATATATATATATATATT